GAAAACTTATTCTATCAGTTGAGTGACCTCACTCCAGTTGATGGTGACAACAGGAGCTGGTTCAAATCGAGGCTCGTCGACGTTGCAAATCAATACTTCATTTCTCCAATGTCATATTCCAAAGTCCTTTCTGAAGAGCATCTAAGAGCATTGAAAGCTCTCAAGAATAATGACAAAATTGTTATATTGAGACCTGACAAGGGCTCAGGTGTGGTGCTGATGAACAAAGAGGACTACATCGCGAAGATGAAAGCTGTGCTAAATGACCCGTTGAGATTTAAAGTTGACAGTTGCCAGAAAGATAAGACAGATGCAGTCGAAAAACGTATCACAAACGCCTTGAGAGATCTTCTAAAGAAGAAATTGATTGACAACAACACATACAATGATTTGAAACCCCGAGGATTCCGCTTGCCACACATGTATGGCCTTCCGAAGTTACACAAAGAACAAGTCCCCCTGAGACCCATACTTTCGATGATCAACTCGCCTCAACATAAGGTGGCACGTTGGCTTGCGGAGAAGTTGGAACGTATTCGTCAACGGCTAGGCGTGCACACGGTGAAAGACTCATTTCATTTCTCTGAAAGTATGAATCACATGAACGTTCTAAATAACTTCATGGTGTCATTTGATGTAACCTCCCTATTCACAATGATTCCAATCAATGAAACTATTGAGATCATCTGTCAGCAGTCCGATCTTCTCCCACTCCCAGATTTGGAATTCAAACGCCTACTGCTTATGTGCACTATGGATGTGCAATTCCTATTTGACAACACCTTTTACCGCCAAATAGATGGTGTAGCTATGGGCAGTCCACTTAGCCCTGTTCTAGCAGATATATTCATGTCTAACCTTGAAAGAACAAAGCTGAAGCATGCAATCGACGAAACATCTTCCTACTGTCGTTATGTTGATGACACATTTATAGTGTGCAAAAATAAAAGTCATGCTTCACACTTACTAAGATTATTCAATGGTGCACACGCCAATATTAAGTTTACTATGGAACATGAAAGTGACGGAAAGTTTCACTTCCTCGACATAGCCATGGAACGCCTAGAAGACGGTAGTCTTCAAAAGTCAGATTATCGAAAGTCCACATGGAAAGGACAATACTTGCATTTTAATAGCTCTTGTCCACATAGCGAGAAGAATATGTTCTATAGAGAAACTAGAGGAGGAGTTTGAGTTCCTTGAAAATATACTGAAGAGAAATGGGTATCCTCAAAGGTTCATCAACAAGTATGGAAGATCTGAAGTCACAAATGTAAAACAAATCACAGTGTAAAAAACCCAGTCTACCTTCAGCTTGATTATAAACGTGAAAATATTGCAGCGATGATCAACAGAAGGCTGAGTACATCACTAGCCATAGCGTATCCTGCAGCTAAGCTCGTTCCCGTCTATCGAACAACTTGCTGTTTGGTGCAATCAAAAATCGATAGATATCCTTCTCATGTTACCTCCAACTGTGTATACAAATTTACATGTATCTGCGGGAGCAGTTACATTGGAAGGACAGAAAGAAGGGCATATCTACGATTTTCTGAACACGTACCAAAAAGCTTACGTCTAAAGGGAACAAATGCTTTAAACAGTGCCATCACCAGGCATCTTCTCGACACGGGTCATGAGGTGGACGTCGAAAAGTCGTTCAAAATTATCAATAAGCAAAATATCTCAATTCTCCTCAAGTTTGCTGAAGCCATTTCCATCAAGCGCCTGAAACCTGATTTATGCGTCCAGAAAGAAGCGGTTATCAGTCTTTCTTTGCCCTGGTAACTGGATAATTTCACCTCTCTTTTCTCCGAATGTGAAATGCTAAAAGTTTCCAATGTGTTTGATTATTATTGTTCGGAATAGTGTTTATTATTGCATATTTATATATGTATATATTTTTAGTGTATGAGTATATTGATCGATTGATTTTTGTTTAAACCGAACTCTGTGCAAGTATGTTAAAATTGTTGTTGTAGATATATTTAATAATGTCTTTGCCATGTAAGCAGCTGACGAGAAGGCAACGAAATAAAAGATGGTACCACTTTATTCTGCGAAAACTGTAGTTCTTGCTTTGTTCAAATTCATTAAGGGGAATAAATGTATGAAATTTATGTTTATTGATCGTTATTCCATTATGACTCACAATATGCTTTGTCTGTCCATTAACTAGAAAAACAATGTATGACCTTGTAGTCACATGACATTACAACCAATCAGAATCCAGTGGTGGTAAGAAAATCCTACTTTCTACCTTATTGGTTCATGTATATTAGTCATTTCATATATACTTTTGTATTGTACAGTTAATGCATACACTTTTTCACACCTTTCGCACTCTTTAGTACTTTTCCACTCACACTCTTGTGTGACAGTTAATTTTCCTTATATATGTCCAAATCAAGTTCACTTTTAACGGTTTGAAAAAATTTGAGCATTGGGTACATGATATTCATTATAATAAAGGTTCTTGTATTTCCCAATGAATGAAAAACAAAACGATAATGTTGCTCTTACTGACGTTTCGTTTTGTTTTTGATTCATTGGGAAATACAAAAACCTATATAATGTTAAGTCTCCTTGTTGGAAAATACACGTATCTTCGTGAGCGTGGTGGACTTCTGATTTGCCGCCTTCGCGTCAGGAAAAATTAAGTGCTCGCAGTACCAGTCTGTAAGGGTTTTCGTCCGTTATATCTGATTAGCGCATATTTACACTTGGTCACACCTTAATATCAACAACGACCCCATAACCTATTGGCGACGAGTACATAACAAACTGACAGACACACCACTAGTTGTCACTACTTCAGACGACAACTCTCTGTAGGCCCTCACCTAGCTGCCCGCACATGAGTTCGAATAGAATGCCTTGATCAGTGCAATGAATTCAGATGACTTCCGGAATAAAATTCTGCTTATTAAGTTTATTTCAAATATAACTGAATAACAATACAATCGAATTTTGACTTTCTCACAATGGAAACACTCTTATATATGAGGAAATTTTCTCTGAAACCATTCAAAAAAAATAAGATATGCTAGAAAACAGGTATTTTCTAAATGATCTGAACTATTTCACATGGGTTATTGCAGTTGTATTTTTCCACTAACCCTTGTATCGACAGATCAGACATGATTACTCTCTATTACCCTCTGTATATCCAAGAGACCTATATTTTCCACATATGGTATAAAATAACAGACTTGAACTATCTTTCCAGGCATGCTTTAGAGGGAAACATTAGAAATAAGGTTATTTGTTGCTTTCCTGACATAGTTTATTGGTTTAGGCGTTCAAATTGCCAACCACTACTCACTCCACACCACACACCACCTAGGGGTTTCGGTTACCGGTTAGCATCACACTATCATGTAGTGTATCAAGTCTGTTTCTTAGATTAGTATACTTAAATGACGATGGTTGTAGCGCTTGACTACTATTCGTATCTACTGTATTCGTATGGTATTCTAGTCTAGCTTAAGCGACTTAAAAAGAAACCAAAACCATTATATTAAAGAAATGTAAACTAGCAAGTACTATTATTGTGATCATTCCTTTTGGTTCCAAGTGGAATATGGGGGACTTCAGAAGCACATCTGCACTTCAACCTGTTCTTTGCAGTCTTTTTCAGCCGACCCTCTCCCCCAAGATTGCCTATAAACCTCCATATCCTCTTCATACAATCTCCTTCATATCACCCTCGTACATACTACACTCAACTCATCGTTGCCCATTCACCTCCCATTCAAACGATGACCTGAAGGGCGATGTCACCCAATAGTCTCTTCAGTGTGTGTCGCCGACCCATCTCCAATTCCTTCAGCATGTTTTTCTGAGCAACAGGCTCTGGATTGTTTCATTTTAAGAGTTTTTGTATCTAATTCCTTCCGAACAATCATCTGATCTTCAGCATAAGAGTCAGCGAAGGCATGTTGCTATTGATAAAAGTCTGCAGAATCCTGTTTGAAATGCTCATTGTAACGCGTGTGCCAAGTTTTTCACGTATACAGAAAGACTGACTGAGAATTGGTGTTGAAAATCCGAATTTTGTTCATTAAACTAAGTAGAGAAGATTTCCAAACGGATCTCAGAGTGGCGAAAGCGTAGCTCGACTTTCGAATTTTGGCTTCAATATCCACATTCTTTCTCAAGTACTGGTTTTGTAGGGATTTTGATTGATTGCATGGAGGATTTCATCTTCAGCTGACATCCGTTAGAGAACCACTGGAAAACCAGCTAGGAGTACTTGGGAGCTGTTTCGTCCCGGTTTGGAACTTTTTTCATCAGTACGCACCTACCGACAGGGTTCGAATCCAGAACCTTCTGGTTACAGGGCGAACCCGTAGACCATTGAGCAACTGGGGCCCACTCCAATGGTCCTTGAATTTTAACTTTTGCTAATTTATGGCATAGAGCGACCATTTCAGAATGTCTTCTTTGATGGGTTACTGCCTCATCTTCAAGCTGCTGTACCCTTGTGGTCACGGCTGATGAAGAGTCCCAAACTAGGACGAGACAGCTGTCCAGTACTCCTAGCTGGTTTTCCAGTGGTTCTCTAACTGATGTCAGCTCATGATGAAATCCCCCACACATTCTTTCTGCCTGTAATTGAGACGATGACACCAAGATAAGTGAAGTAAGTGATGTTTTTTCTTCAAATTTCTTCCGTTGATCGATGCCTTTTGTTCTTGGTTGGTTAACTTCATCACCTCCTCCTTCTCTACATCCTCTTAGTCTGACAACAGACCACACATAGTAGAGTCAATACAAAGCTCACATGACAGTGATCATACCTCTTTATAGGTGAAATAAAGTAAGATCCTACACGACACACTCACATTTAATAGTTGACTACTTACAAAAATATGCTGCAGCTAAGTGAATATATATATATATATATATATATATAAGAAGAAACATTATGTGTGGAAAAAAAACAATGGCTCAATATTACGGCAAAACTACAAAATGATATAAATAAATAAACTTACTTAAACATAAAAAAGCAAAACAATATTGCAGAACAACATCTCGAAAGTATACAAAACCGCTTTCCGTTGAATCATTCGATGACACCATATCGGATCGTGGTTTACTGACTGTATACAGCAGATCATCCAGTGCATCTTGACAGACAGCAGACAATAATCGATCAGCAACCTGGAACACAAACAAATTTCGCACATATATGTATATATATTTAGAGAGAGAGAGAGAGGGGGGGTGAGGGAATACTCTCAAACCATGCACGTCGACAGGGTTAGGTTAGCGACCGACGAGCAGTAGGTCCGGAAGGAGGAAAAGTCGGGAGTAAGGCTAGCAACCCCTCCGTAAAAACAAAAAAACCACTACTATAACCTCGAAGCTGAAAACCTGAAGCTCTGTCTTCCACTTGAAATGCAAAGGAACGGGTTAGGACTCTCGACGACCATGCGTATGGTCTGGGGTTCGATCACAGTGTTTATTTTACAGGATGCAGTTGGTAGCCTCATGCCCAACCCTTCCTCTTTACCAGCATTATTTCTGGCTTAGCGAGGTAAAGGAGTGCGTCGGCCGGGGATCGAACCCCGGATCATGTGCATGGTTGGCAATTGCTTTAACCGCTATGCCACCAACGAACACTCTTTCTTAATGCCAGGAATCAGTGAAGTCTAATGTTAGCGCATCATCTTACGTTTGGCAAGAGCAAATCGCATGCTAAACATTCGAAGAGTGCTGTTCAGAGTGTTCGGCGGACTGGATTTTATCGGCGTCTTCATTTAGGAGGACTATATCATCCACAAGACTATAACCTTGTAAACAAATCAAATATTAAGTGGCTCAAGTTATTTAGGGTCAGCTGCATTAGTACACCTAAGATGGAGGTAGATAAAAAATGAAGACATTGGGAATCCCAGGCAGACACTTCTTCAGATGACAATTCTCTATAAACTCTTACAATACTCTCAATACATTGGAGTGATCAAGGCACTCACTCTATTCGAACTCATGCAGCCAGGTGAGGGCTTACGGCGAGTTGTCACCTGATATGGTGACGACTAGTGGTGTCCTTCAGGGATGCCAGCCCATTATCCCCATTTCTATTCAATTTCATCATAGATGTACTAATGGACTTAACCCTAACTCACTTCAGAGACTCAGGGACTGACTTGCTACCAAGGAATAATCTCGTTGACTTAGAATATGCAGACGATATAGTCCTTCTAGGCGAGGACGCTGACAAAATCCAGTAGAGTTTTCTGAACACACTGAGCAGAAATGTACGAATGTTTGGGATGCGATTCGCTCCCGCCAAATGCAAGATGATGTTACAGGACTGACTGGACTACAGTGACTCTTAGTTTAGATATAGGGAGTGAAGTGGTAGAGTACGTTGACCGCTTCACTTATTCGGGAAGTACGATCAGCCAGTGCAAACGGGTTGATCTCTGACGAAATCTCAGCACGGATATAGAAAACTGGTTTCGCCAGTTTACGCCAACTCTGGCCTAGTAGACGTGATATCCGGCTGGCTACTGACCAAAGGGCGGGTGTACTGCTCATCACTTCGCTTCGTTCTCCTTTATGGTCAGCTGTGAGACCTGACCATTGAGAGTGGAAGACATGAAAAGGTTATCTGTCTTTGATCATAGGTGCCTGCACCCTATCTTCCGTGTGAAGTGGTATAATAATGTGAGCAATATTCAGGTTTAGGAGTTGGTCGAGTGGTAGGTAGGCGGGAGGGGAAATCAATCAATCGACGAGGCTGTGGAATTACATCGACTGAGATGGTTAGGACATGTGTTACGTATGCCTCGCCTAGTCATCACCTTCCCCGACAATGGGCTATGTTAGTTGACATAGGGTCGGGCTGGAAAAGAGCTAGCACATGGCGGTCAAACCAAAACATGGCTTCACCAGTCAATGAAATCCACAACAGTTAGTTTAAGCCACGTAGTCATGTAGGAAGGTGTAGACTTCCTGACCGGTTTGGGTACGCCGGACGGTAAAAACCAATAAGGGCTGGAGACAATTGGTGATATGGCTCAAACTCGTCGTTCTCAATGGCTGGCTAGTGCAGATGCATCCACTCCTTGTGACTTATGATTTCCAATGAAACCATATTGTTCTTCGTTATTACTCTTCCTTTGTCTCACATCTATGTTTACTGTCTCTATTGTGCATGTCTTCTGCTTTCTTTTCTTGCTTTGTGTGCTACATGTGGGGAGTGTGGCGACTTGAACTGGTGCACATCGGTGTAAAGTTCTATGTCGAAAAAAGACAGACAGATCCCAGGCAGACACTTCTTCAAATGACAATCGTCTATCGACTCTTACAAGGTTGCATGAGTTCGAGTGGAGTGAGTGCCTTGATTAGTGCGATATATTTTTTATCCGCTACACCCGCCACGGTTAAGACAAGGTTATAGAGCAAACGTATGCGACAACTATCCACCGGCTATTCTCTTAAACAAGAATGAAACCTAAAATAGGTAATTAACAACACAGGGAAAGGTTCATCGGTTTAGTGTGAAACTCAGACACGTATTAACGACGATAAAAATACTTTAGTGACTCTACGATCCCTATCGAATTAATTTGCATATAATAAATATATATAAATATATATCTTACCTCCAATAAGTTGAAAAAGATATAAATTTTGATAACTGACTGCGTCCGAATCTCATGATAGGCTACAGAACTGTCATATTTTGTCAAAATAACAGTACATATGCATAATAAAGAAAATTTGACCAGATCACGCAGTTCATAATTGTACAACAGGTTTACTCGTGAAGATTTTGGACAAACTGGATCACTATAAAAGAATTAGAAAAACTGATAACCTTGGTTTTTCTTTCAAGATACAATGAAAATCATTTGTTAGAAGATATAAGAGACATTACACTGAAAAATTACACTTAGTAGCTTTATAACCTGCAACCACATCTTAATGAATGATCATTTGGAAGACTGACAACGTGACACACACAATTTAATCGGTAAGCTTGAAAGTGAAACTATACCATAAAATAGAGTGGGAGTTCTGACTACGTCACTTGTAATTACTGATAATGCTATCGACACTAGAGCTGAGGGGTTGATTGTACAATAGTTTGTGAGCTGATGCAGTGATTGATAAAATCCCAGATCAGTTCTCTCTGAGACGTTTCCCGCCGTGAATCGCAGAACGGAAAATCTAACCAGAGCCCCTCGTGCACTGGAGGTAACCCATCCTGCCTCATGGAAACCAGATGGAAACCGAACGCCAATCCACCTCCCACTGTATAAACATAGTTTTAGACTTGGTTGTCGTGCCGAATGCACTTCAAGATATCCATGATTGGGTTACCACGCTGTCCACTGCTACTCTCGCTAACCATGAGTCACGAAGTTAACCCGGTCGTTGCCCTCTCACCCAAACTTCCAATGATCTACACGCCGCCCGGAGCCCAGTAATCCACACCACATTAAGCTTAAAGGGCTTTCCCGCACCGTCCATTTGAGCTGATTAGCCAGACGCGAATGCTGTGTTCATGCTTGTGGCAGCTCTCAGTTTGGGCCCAGTATGCTGAACCCTGCCCAGGAGGAACCACTAAGAGATCGAATGGAGTATGAATCTTTTTTAGTCAGCTCCAAACATGCGAACGTAGCTTCTAGAGCTGCTCCAATGCTCTGTGAATCTGAATTCAAGTCAAAGCCTCGGATGATGGATACTTAAGGTAAAAACCTGCTTTGATGATTTGGGCGTCCGCGCAGTGAGTATCCCAGTCATCGCACTAATAATGAGAATTTCGTGTGTTTAATTTCTTGGTCTCCATAACATACCAAGTCTATAATTTAACAATAAGTGAATAATGATGATTCCAATGTTCTATTTATCTACGAAAATCTCACCACTTACCACAAGGAGAGAGATAAGACGATGAATCAAGACAGGTTAAATCCCAGCATGGATACAAGAGCTGGTATGGCATCCACCAACTTATGTCATTTTTGTCGTAGAATTGATATACGCACGCCTGGCTATCTATCGAAGGATTGGTTTGCTAGACAGCCGTTCACTCTGTGTCCTCTTTTATGGCTGCGACACATGGCTGTTGAAAGTGAAAGATAATAAAAAGGCTAGCTGTCTTTGATCATAGGTGTCTGTGTTATATCTCCAGTGTTAGATGGTAGAATAGGGTGGGTAATTTTGAGGTTAGGCATCAATTACTCGGTAAGGAGAGTGAGTCAGTTGGAACAGTGTTACGCACGATTAAACATTGCCTTCCTAGACAGGGAATGTTAACTGAAATAAGGTTAGAATGGAGACACCAGTTAGAGGTGGTCAAATTAAATCTCGGAATCAGTCGTCTATGATATTTTTGACAGTTAGTTTCAGCCACAACCAGTGAGGTGTAAGCTTCCTGGTTATGTTCTTGGAATTCTAAGAACTAATGGCTGAAGATAAATGGTGATATTGACTGAAAATCGTTCTCACTGGCCCAGATACACTCCCCCGGCCCCGCTTTGTAATCTTTCATATCCACTACACTCTCTTGCTTTTTCATGTTACTATTTCTTCCCGCACATTTCTGGCTTATTATTATTATTATTATTATTATAATTAATATTCTTTTGAATCCCGTTTTCCTCTATTTTGTCTTTCTTTGTGTACTACACATGAAGCATGCCAGCTTGAACTGTTATACTTCTGTGCAAAGTTCTATATGTTGAAACCAGTCGGCAGTCATTCAGTGAATTAGACAACCAATAAAAACTACCAGGGAGTACTGGACAGGTGTAAGTGAACAAACCTGAAATCAGTCAAGTCCTTGTAAACCAACACACACACACACACCTATGAACAGTAAAAAAATCTACGTATACAAAGCAGCTTCTTATCTAAGTAAAACTAAAACACATTAATATACATCGTTATTATCATCCCCCCTTTCGTATAAAATCTCTAATACAACATTTTTTAGAAAAAAATTAAAAAATCTTCGTATACCCTACTTATAATTTAAAACAATTAGTTCCCTTTATGAATTTAGATAAAGCAATAAGAAGACGTAATTTGTCTGAATCGTGTTGTAATGTATTTGCGTGCAACACATTTCAAGCAATCTGATCACAACTGTTGGTTTTTAGGGATTTGATTGGTTTACAGCATTTTCATCATGAGCTGACATTAGTTAGAGAACCATTGGAAAACCTGGGAGTACTGGACAACTGTTTCGTCCTAGTCTGGGACTCTTCAGCAGTACGCTGCAACCACCGACAGGGTTCGAACCCAGGACCTTCTGGTTACAAGGTGAGCTCGTATACCATTAAACAGAAGTTAGAATTCGCGGACCATTGGATCGGGGCACCCAGTGACTTAATGGTATACGAGCTCGCCTTGCATCCAGAAGGTCCTGGGTTCGAACCCTGTCGGTGGGTGCGGCGTACTGATGAAGAGTCCCAGGCTAGGACGAAACAGCTGCCCAGTACTCCCAGGTTTTCCAATCGTTCTCTAATTAATGTCAGCTCATGACGAAAATCCTGTAATCTGATCACACACGAACTTGTCATAGGAACATATATTAAATTAATAAAGAGTTAAGAGGTGAGAAAATAGACCACTTAGGTCAAGTTAAAAGGATATATTCAAGGTCAAAATAACAATGAAGACCACTAAACCAAATAGCAGAGGTAATAGTGTAGTGAGAGCTGTCTACTAGCCAAATTGGTAGATAGTAATTTACGTCAATGTTTACGTCCTCATTATTGGTCGTGAGAAAAATATGAACAACGACTGATTCAACAACCAACCCCAGAAGACTTTGCGTAGGCGGATACAGTTAACATATAGATGATCTGACATTCAAGAAACAGCCAAAAAGAGATGAAATATTAACTTTCTGTGAGAAACAACCAGAGGACTGTGTTTTTCTGCTAACAATAATCTACAATAATGTACATGAAAATCTGTAAGTATGTGTTGATTTCCTTAATAAACGATCTCTTTCCTGGCCCTTGTCTTCTGAAGTTACAATAGTACATCTGCACAGGCTGGTATCAAAACAAAATTTACCAAGGAAGGTTTAATGTGATGACGAATTGTTCTTGAACGCATAAACGTGGTTTAAACTTCCTAATTCCCAGCTAGGGCTTCCACAAGCTTTAGGATACGCCCCAAACACATTTTATAGATAAGTTTAAAAGATGTGTTAACGTCAATTGTATGTCCTCTCTCTATAATATGTTTCGCAATATTGTCTGTCTGTTTTCGACATAGAACTTTGCACAAATGTGCGGAAGTTCAAGTCGCCACATTCCGTGTAGCACGCGAAGCAAGAGAAGAAAGTACAAGAAAACTTCGCAATAGATGAGCTAGGTCTCATGTTCTCACCATTAATGAGTTGTGAAGATTCCATTTGTTTTTGGAGTCATTTAGGAATATGCTCTGAAGCCAGTCCTTACTTGCAGAGATCGATGAATCCCTCCCTATGTATGTCTGTGTGCCCACACGTGCATTGAAATTGGTAAATACATTGCGATATGACATCATTTTTGGCATGTTCAAAGGGTTTAGATACGGATATATTGGCTTCACATTCTCAATTACTATTATGATATTAGCTGCATAAAAAGTCTTTTTAACAGTAGCGTTCAGTCTCTGTCTAGTTATCAAGCTGCTATAATGCCCCATATAGAGAGGGTAGCTTGATGTACACGTCTTTCTTAGGGCGAGTTGGAGAGTAGGTGTCTTGGTGTTCTGACTTCTTTATATCTCCGGATGAACTTGTCTGGATAATTGTTATCAACCAGAGTCTGTGTGTCAACTTTCTTTCTTCTTCATCAAGAATAATTATCACGAATTGAAAGAACACCTTCAATGACATTGAAAATTCCCACTAATTGTTTGTTTTTGTGTGTTTTTTCTCTTGAATCAAAACCTTTCATAACCACCAATGGAAAACGAAATCTAATTAACACACACACACACACACAAGATTGATAATGTTTGTCGCATAGACTATTGAGTGTTGTTTTTCAGTCTTTTTTCTTATATCATGACTGATAGAGAAACCAGAAAAGAGGTACTTTTAAATCACACAAGCGCGCTCTATACGGTGGCAGACAATTCAGCATTCCTTTCATTATAATTAACACAGAGATCACACACGCAGATGATATACTACCCTCATTTGATGGATTCATATGTTTTTATCTTTATATGATATGTGGGATGATGGCTGGCAACAAGAGTGCATCTATCTTCAAAAGCACTGAAATAGTATCTCACAGTGTATTATAAGGTGATAAAGAGAAACAAGTCAAAACAGAACAGAACATGTGATCCTTGAAAAAAAACACTCAAAGCTAGAAATTAATGTTAACTGTGTCAGCATCATCATCAATAAATTTTGAAATCGTGTCTTATTAACAAATCTTGCTTAATGTAGCGAAAATATTGATTCAAATACTTGGAAAATGACAAAAAAGAAATTGAGCGAAGAATATCATTTTCGATAATTTCCTCTTCCGTCTGTCTGTCTGTTTTCAACATAGAACTTTACACCGATGTGCACCAGTTCAAGTCGCCACACTCCATGTAACACAATGCAAGAGAAGAAAGTAGAAGAAATGTATAATAGAGACAGTAGAAAGAGATATGAGACAAAGGAATAGTAATAACGAAGAACAATATAGTTTCATTGGAAATAATAAGTTACCAGGAGTGGATGCATCTGCACCAGTCAACCATTGAGAACGATCACTTTGAGTCATATCACCAATTGTTGCCAGCCACCATTGGTTTTTACCGTCCCGAATACCCCAACCAGTGAGGAAGTCTACACCTTCCTACGTGACTGGCTGACTTAAACTAATTGTTGTAGACTTGATTGACTGATGAGGTCTTGTTTTGGTTTGACTGCCATGTGCTACCTATTTTCCAGCCTGACCCTATGTCAGCTAACATTCCCCATTGTCGAGGAAGGCGATGACTAGGCGAGGCATACGTAACACATGTCCCAACCATCTCAGTCGATGTAACTTCACAGCCTCGTCGATTGATTGATTTCCCCTTCCGCCTACCTACCACTCGACCAACTCCTAAACCTCAATATTGCTCACCTTATTATACCACTTCACACGGAAGATAGAGCACAGGCACCTGTGACCGAAGACAGCTTTTCTTTTCATGTCTTTCACTCTCAATGGTCAGGTCTCACAGCTGGCCATAAAGGAGGACGGAGTGGACTGATGAGCATTACATTGTCCATTGATGAAGGTGATGGCCAGGTATTGTTGGGAAATTAAAAAAACAGGCGCACAAGCACAGCACAGAAGAAAACAGCATACACACAAAATAGTTTAATCCAGGAAGTGAACTTACTGTTCTTGTTCAAAATTTGTAAAAAATTGAAAAAATCGACTGGATATCCTCATGAATAAATGTATAACGGTTAGAAAACAACGCAGTGGAAGAAATGTGTACACGATCAATAAATGGTCCAAACATTGCAATAATCCATAGAGCATAAACTACAGTTGGGATTTTTTTTTAAATAAAAAGTAAAGCAACCATTTAAGACAAAGTGAAACTTATTAACAATAAAACAAAATGACTAGGTCATATATGGCAGAACATGCTCTACTGAGGCCTACTGAGATTCAAAAAAATCCAAACAATAAACATATTTAAATGATACGCTTTTTAATTGGGATTCGGACTAATTTGAATGTGGACTTTCATCACAAATCAACACAATATTTAGAGAATCATTAGCGAAACATCAGGGGTAGCACTGGACATTTGTTTCTTCCTAGTTTTGGGACTACTGAGCAATGCGCCACAGTGGCTCCACAAGGTATCGATACTCAGGACCCTCAAGATGCGAGGTCAGCCAATTAGACTGGAATTCGAAAAGCCGGCGTGAATTCCGACTCTGCCAGTTTGTGATACAGCGCTAACGTCAACAAATGCCATTCATAGGCATCCACTTGATCACCATGAAATGTTGGACCTCACACTAGCCATTACTTTCCATTAGAAATTAAGGACATCTATACAGTAGCCGACAATTATACATGTCATCCAACAGTTGCACGACAATGCTGCATGCCAGGTAGGTAATCCACAACGGAAAGCTTACAGAACCCTTCGAAGTGAAGACGGGAGTAAGACAAGCTGGCTTACTACTATCGCCAATGATTTTCCTGATTGCAGTAGATTGTATAATGGGACGAAAAGCGGGCAGACAGGAAACAGGCATAAAATGGACCCACACAAAAGCTTGGATCTGATTTCCCACAAAGTAGAAGATATGCATGCGGAGAGAAACAAGTTGGCAGAAGTATCCAGAGAAGATAGGACTTCAGGTGAACATAGAGAAAACAGAGGTGATGAAGATTCCTGAGCAACAACAACAGCAACAACAATAGACAACAATCAGTGTAAATGGGAGGAACCGGAAAGAAACAACCTCCTTCACATACTGAACTGGGAAGCATCGTTTCAACTACAGGCCAGCGGAACTGACGAGGATATCAAAGCAAAGATCGGGAAAACAAAAAAAGCTTTGATTACTCTCAAGTCTGTGTGGAGGTCAACAACACTCAGAATGGAAATGAGATTCGGATTTTCAACTCCAATGTGAAGTCAGTGCTACTTACTACACGAATCAGAGACTTGGCGCATCATAAAGAGCACCTCAAACAAACTACAGACCTTCGCTCCATACTCAAGATCAGATGACTGGCCAGAAAAGATCAGAAACAGGGATCTCTGGCAATGAAACCACCAACCAGGAACCGATTGTTAAACAAATATGCAGGAAGAAATCGAGGTGAATTGGCCATACTCTGAGGAAACCATCAAGCGACATCACCAGACAAGCCATTGCTCGAGTGGTACCCGAAAGGGAAGCGGCGAGTTGGTCGTCAGTGCGAGGATGGGGTGACTTGGAGGAGGTCATGTGTAGAGGAGATGAAAGCATGTGGGCAGATAAGGAGCCAGGTAAAAACTCTAGCAGAGAACCGAACGCAATGGAGACGCGCGGTTAAAGCCCTATGTTCCTCTATGAATTAAAGGCGATAATAATAATACAGTAGCCATCAATGATCTGGAGACTGATACTTAGATTATCAGTTTTACAGCGAATTCAGATTGATTTAAAATACACAGGTACATCACGCATTGAGAGAAATTAGAATTCATGGGGTCATTGGAATCCAGTCCAACTAGTGACTGAATTATCGAGTTCAACCCCTGATGATGTGGGTGTGCACTGCTGAACAGTCACAAAGCTAGGAAGGAACAACAATCTAGTGCTGCCTAGATTTCAATGATTCCCTAAGTGATGTTGACTCGTGATGAAATCTGAATTGAAAATGACCCAATCGCCATCTAATACTTCCCCATTCAGCTAGCAGGATAATAAGAGGGTTAAATAAATATATAGGAAAATGAATGGTTGGCAAGAAAATGAATAGATATGAAAAACACAATGATCTTATCCATCAGTAAGCTGTGATTAATACGCTAAAAACACACTGTAATTCGGAAATTATCTTTCAATGCTACGCTAAGCAGTTTTGCGGATACTACTTTGAACCACAGAATGAATGAGCTGTACCTCAGTAACGACATACACATCCGTAAAAATGCCTGTAAGTTACGCCTACTTACTATGTGAGGACTGGCGATACCTCCTGGTTGCTCAATAACCAGAAAGTAGTTCAAACTTTTAACCGAAACGAAACAAATCGAATGCCTAGACTTGTGAATCACGTGTTCTTAAAATGTGTGTGTGAAATATTCAAAAGTAATAAAGAAGTTTCCACCGACAACAGGATAGGATTACTACAGGTTGTAAGACATCTACCGAATGGTTCAGGCTGCTAGACCTCATATTTATTTTGATAATAAACACTAGTTAGTACCTAGTGTAATCTGCCTAATCCTTTGCTTAGTGCAGACTGAATTCTATCAGTCAAGCTCGCAATGAAGCCACCACCATGCTAGTTGGCTCACCATCACGGTGCACTGTAAATCGCTGATACTGGATTGTTGGAGGCAATTATCAGGATACCTCAGATCTAGGTTTCGTGCTAGCTGACATCCGTGTCACCAAGGAACTCATGCCCCTTCTGAGATTCGAACTCGTGTCACTCAGTGTTGCAGTCACAGACGTTACGATTGAATACTTTTATTGGACACTAGTTACTAATTAGTATTCATGCAGTCCTACAGGAGATCAATCAGGAGACAGAATAGCCCTTTGGTAAGGTCTCTGACTGTAGCACTGAATGATATATAAGGGATATGAGTTCCTTGATGACGGGTGTCAAGTAGTATGAAACCTAGGTCCAAGCGGCTTGCTGACAATTGCTACTGATTACCTAGAATGAACGTGATATTTTCATACGATCAACAGATGTTATAAAAAGGAAGAGGATGCTTTGGACATCGGTGAAGTCTGGTGTTAGAAACCACAATTTCTGAAAAGACTAATAAAATCCACATATTTATTCGACAGTTAACCTGGGGTTCTAGTGGGAAGCCGTGACCAGTAGGGTACAGCAGGCTGAAAATGAGGCAGTAACTCATCGAAGAAGACATTCCGAAACGGTCGCGCTATGTCGTGAACTGGCGGAAGTTAGAATTCATGGACTGGTCATTGTATCGATTCCCAGTGGCTTAATGCTCTACGAGCACGCCTAGTAACTAGAAGGTCCTGGGTTCGAACCCTGGCGGCGGGCGCGTACTGCTGAAGAGTGCCAAACCAGGACGAAACAACTGTCCAGTACTCCCAGCTGTTTTTCCAGTGGTTCTTTAACTGACGCCAACTCGTGATGAAATCCTCCATCCAATTAACCATAAGTTGGACAAAAGTGATTTCCAGTGAAGCTTGACGAAAAGTTATATGCTACGGAATAAAGATACTTTCAACATAGTTGCAATTCTTAAAAGTTTATGACGAATTACGAAAACTGTTCAACAATTTAAGTTTGGCAAAACTACTAGAAGAATCTATTCTCCTGACTACAACCCTCAGTAAGTGTTATGCTATCAAGTGCACAGAGAAAGGAGAATTTTCTTATCCACAACAGATTAGTCCTAAAACATAACTAATAGCTTTATCACACAGTGCACCTGATTCACTGCTTAACGGTTACCAGTATCCTTCTCGAATATAACACATCAGTTACATTGGAAGGATAGAGTTGTAGTCGATGGGACTGGACATCTGACAATTAGGTAGTCAGTTATCGCTTCAAACTCAGATGTTCAGACATTGGATTCACTAAAAACAACCATAAACTAAGACTAGCACAAATGTCCAATGCTTCTTGGTTTTCAATAATTTTCCAGGCAACACTGTAAAATGAAGAAATCTACATCAGAATTCAGATATGTTGATCAAAATTACGGCAAACAGATAATACCATTATCCACTAAACAATGCATGCAACCCGATACTGACTGACTGGTTTCAACACAAACCTTTGCACAGATGTTCAGCAGTTTCGAGTTGTCTTTGATCATAGGTGCCTGCGTTCCATTTCCAGTGTGAAGTGGTATAATAAGGTAAGCAATATTGTGGTTAGGTGTTCGTCGAGTGCTACGTAGGAGGGGAAATCAATCGACGGGGCTGTGAAATTACATTGACGAAGGTGGTTAGGACACGTGTTACGCATGTCGCGTTATCGCCTTCCCCGCCAATGGGGAATGTTAGCTGACATATGGTTAGGCTGGAAAAGAGCTTGCGGCAGTCAAACCAAAACATGGTCTCATCAGTCAATGAAATCCAAAACAGTTAGTTTAAACCAACCAGCCACGCAGGAAGGTTTAGGCTTCCTGACTGATTGAAGTCCTCGGGACGGTAAAAACCAATAGGGGCTGGCGACAATTGGTGATATGGCTCAAAGTGATCGTTCTCAATGACAGCGAAGATGCATCCACTCCTTGTGACTTATGATTTCAACTGAAACTATATTGTTCTTCGTTATTACTATTCCTTTGTCTCACACCTCTGTTTACTGTCTCTATGATGCATTTCTTCTACTTTCTTCTCTTGCTTTATGTGCTACAAAGAGGGAGTGTGGTGACTTGAACTGGTGCACATATGTGCAAAGTTCTATGTCGAAAACAGACAGACGGACACTCCATACAGCACACAAAGCAAGAGCACAGCGTAAAGACACATTCAAAACAGAGATATTGAACAAAAATATGAGGCAAAAAGAATCCAAATATGCAACAACAATAGGACTTTATTCGATATTGTAAATTACAAAGAGTGAATGCATCTGTGACATCATTGAGAACGAGGAGTTTGAGTCATACCACCACCAATTATCTCCAGCCATTGATTATACCCATCCACAACACCCCAAACATGGAGACTGCACCTACCTACCCATGGATCAAATTAACTGTTGTGGATATCATTCACTGATGAAGCCTTGTGTCCGTTTGACCATCAGTAGCTCTCTCTCTCCCCACTTAATCCTATGTCAGTTAACATTCCTCGACAACGAAGGCGGTGGTTACGAAAGTGTAACACATGCCCTAACCACCTCAATCCGTGTAACTTCACAACCTCGTCAATTGACTTCCCTTCCTTTCCTAATATTGAACACCTAATGTCAATATTACTCGCCCTATCAGGTCACCTAACACGGGAGATAGAACGCAGACACCTATGATCAAAGACAGCAAACTAATCTTTTCATGCATTTGGATTTCAATCGGCGTGTTTCACAACCGTTAAGGAGGACAGAGAGAACTGATGATGAACAGTATACAAGCCCTTTGGTCGACAGCCATATATCACGCCTACGACAAAAATAGCATAATTTAGCAAATGCTACGCCAGCCTTTTGTATCCATGCTGAGATTTCGTCAGCCATCAACTTACTGACGATGATGACTGATGCAACTTCCCAAATAAGTGAAGTCGTCAACACACTCTACCACTTTACACTCTATCTTTAAGCTAGGAGTCGATGTGGTTCCAGTCCTGAAGCATAATCTTACATAGGACAAGATCGAATCGCATGCCAGACATTCGAAGATTGCAGTCTGTTTAGGTATTCAGAAGACTCTGGATTTTGTCAGCGTCTTCACCTCCATGTAGTACATAAAGGAAGAGAAATGAGAGGGAAGAAAGAAACTCGAAAGAACGATAATCAGCAGAAATATGAGGGAGGAAGAATAGCAACATGGAAAAAATAATTGGGTTCAGTGGTATGGCAGATCACAAATAGTGAATACACCTAAAACATCGAGAATATTTTTGAGCTAAATCATCGACTAACTGTCTACGACCAATGGTTCTTAGAATCCCAAGGATGCGCCAACAAGGCAGCAACCTACACCTCTTTACGTGGCTGGCACAAAGTAACTGTCAAAAATTTCATGGATTGATTTCATCTTTTGGTTTGACCACCTCCGACTCTTTCCTGACCTCATGGTATGCCAGTTAACACTGTTCATCAAGGAAAGAGGTGGCTTAGCATACCCAAAATGTATTCAAGCAATTTGCCACTAATAAGGTGTTACACAGACACATAAAACAAAAACCACATTACAATAGCGTTACAAAAATGTACAATATAAAACATCCACCGAGGAAAATTGGATGAATTATTCCAAAAAAATAGCGGAAATCTCAAAATGCAAATTACCGATTCTAAGTATTGAGGCACTGTGATAAATGTATACGCTCGATTAGTGAAAGGACCTTGTTTATTTGTACCATCTTCATCTTGCTTTTTTCTAATTGACTGAACAACCTCCTCTTTTAAATAATACGTAAATCTGAAATCTTGAGTGGAAAACAACAAGAAATAAGGCGCGATTAGTTAGTCATTAGTTGGGCATTGTTTAATCGAGTGCATAATTCCGTATTAGATTAGTTTTTATTTCATACAGCTTACAGTGATACAACAACATCAGTAAATGGATGATATTATACGACTACAATTTGCAGCTTGCACCACAACTTATAGCCTATGAAAATGGACTTAACCCTAACTGCTGACTTCAGGGACACAACGATTGACTTGCTACCAGGGAATAATCCCGTTGACTTAGAATATACAGACGATATAGTCCGTCTAGGCGAGGACGCTGACAAAATCCAGCAGTCTTCTGAACACCTTGAGCTGAAATCTACGATTGGCATGTTTGGCATGAGATTCGTTCCCGCCTAATGTAAGATGACATTACAGGACTGGATTACACTGACTCCTAGTTTAGAAATACGGAGTGAAGTGATAGAGCACGTTGACTGCTTCACTTATTTGGGAAGTACCATCAACCAACGTCAACGGGTTGATCTCTGAGGAAATCTTAGCTGAGTACGGATACAGAGGGCTAGTTTCGTATATGCCAGTTTACGCCGTCTCTGGCCTAGTAGACGTGATATCCGACTGGCTATCGACCAAAGGGCGGGTATACTGCTCACCAGCTCCCTCCGTCCTCCTTTATGGCCAGCTGTGAGACATGGCCATTGAGAGTGGAAGACATGAAAAAAGCTCAGCTGTCTTCGATCATAGGTGCCTGCGCTATATCTCCTGTGTGTGTTAGTCGCTATAATAAGGTGAGCAATATTGAGGTTAGGCATCGGTCGAGTGCTAGATAAGGAGGAAATGGAAATCAGTCGACGAGGCTGTGAATTTACACCGATTGAGATGGTTAGGACATGTGTTACGGATGTCTAGTCATCGCCTTCCTCGACAGTGGGCAGTGTTAACTGACATAGGGTCAGGCTGGAAAAGAGCTAGCACATGGTGGTCAAACCAAAACATGGCTTCACCAGTCAATGAAATCCACAACAGTTAGTTTAAGCCACGTAGTCATGTAGGAAGGTGTAGACTTCCTGACTGGTTGAGGTCCTCGGGACGGTAAAAACCAATGGTGGCTGGAAACAAGTGGTGACATGGCTCAAAATCATTCTCATTGGCTGGTGCAGATGCATCCACTTCTGGTAACTCATGATTTCCAATGAAACTATATTGTTCTTCGTTATTACTATTCCTTTGTCTCATATCTCTTTCTACTGTCTCTATTATACATTTCTTCTACTTTCTTCTCTTGCATTGTGTTACATGGAGTGTGGCGACTTGAACTGGTGCACATCGGTGTAAAGTTCTATGTCGAAAACAGACAGACAGACAATGAAACGGAAGGAAAATAAAGTCTTACTGAGCAACTTGCTGTCTGCATTTACATGAAATTGGTAATAAGCCGCACCTATTGTGTCCATGCGTGTATGAGAAAGATAGCTGGTGATACTACGTGTGGTTGGCTAGACTTCGTCAGATAGACAGGACTTCGAAGCTTTGGGCCAGTGGTTCGAAGTTGACCACTTAGTGTGATGAACCACAGATCCATACAGCACCTATAAGGGACTATTATTAACAGATTGTGGCCTAAAATCCATCACTAATTAGCACATCAAATAAACTAATTCACTATATGTATGTGTGAAAGTGAGTACAAGGTGAATTGTACATAAATAAAAAATTATACACCGAAAGAGATAGAATGAGTGTGCCTATAACATTTTCACTAAGCTATATAAAATGTTAATGAGTGGGAAATGACCTTAGGAAGTACTGCACTGCATAAAGTTAGACTACTGTTATTATTAGTATTTGGGAATTTAATTTAATTGACAGTAAAACTATAAATGATATACTTTTACTTTTGTCACTAATTGGATGTAATTAAATCCGTGTTATTATACTACACATGACCTTCTTCTTACTGCTAATGATTCTGCAGAACTTACTAGCCATAACCCACTGCTAAACTATAAGTAAACTTATTTTTATGAAATCAATAGCTCTGCATTTTGCATAAATATACTTAAATGTGATGTGTTAGCTAAAGTTTAGAAAAAGACTAGAAGAAAATGAATTCATTAATTTTGTTCCCTTGGGTTCCGACTGGAACATAGAGCTTCCATTCTTTGCTATTCTCTATGGTTCTCTCAAACTAACCCAGTCTATCCGACTGTTTCTCATCTCATCCATGTCACCCTAGGACCAACGCCACTCTCATCGTTTCCTATTTAGGTTTCACTTGAGGGTTTGGCGCGCGACGTCATTTGACAGTCTTAACCAAGCATGTGTTCAAAACCATCTGCATTTTCTTTGGTATAATTCTTGAGCAATTGGGTGCTTGATTAGTTTGTTCCCAGAGTTTTTTATTGCTGATTCTTTTCCGACAAGCCATTCGTTCTTCAGTATGGAGCTAGCGAAGCCTGTTGGCAATACTTTAGCGCTAAGTCTTTGACCTATATAGAAGAATTAACCGAGTTAATATTGGTGTTGAAAATACTATTTTCGTATTACATACTGACTGAGTCCAACAGACTTCTACAGTGCCTTAAGAGTGATGAAATTGTGCCTTGTCTTTCCGACTCTGGTTCTGACATTATCATTCGTTCCCTTGCCTGTAGTTGAGACGATGCCGACTAGGCAAGTGAAGCAAGTGACCTCCTTGAAATTTCAAGAAAACGAAGAGCAATACGCATTCTTAACTACTAAACTAAGCAAGTAGACAGAATTATATGAGACCAAATTTAAACGTTTCCGTTATTAAGGCTTAGAAATGATCACAGCAGTACAGGTGCATTAACACATCTTAACTTAATTCTTATTATTCACCTCCTGTTGACTACACGGATTCTATTTTTGTTCTATTTTCCTGTATATTATTTTCTTGTTGTGCAGTTATGAGGTATGACAAACTTGAAAACAACTCAGTAATGGTGTGTCTAATCTTGAAAATATATGGAAAGAACACACTCCTGACCCACCGAAAGCTGCTACCTTGACGTGGTGGTCGGGCTTGAACACCGCAATGACCTAATCAAGCTATACTGGCTGAGACTTATGTCTCTTGAGGTCCTACCATGCCAGGCAGGTTGTTTGGATAGCGGTTAAACAAAAAGCAGCTACCCAATCCAACATCATGTCCAATACAAAATTACAAAATTTCATGCCGGATCGGCCGTGGCCCGGATTAACAACGACCGCGCTTCCTGCTGCCGTGTCACAGGGCGGGAGTGATAAATCTGCTACTGAGACACACCAAACAAAAAAGAACGAACAAAAACAGGCCGCGTGTGACCGGCCTCAAGCAGTTGTCCCCTGGGCTCTGCGGTCACGCAACCAACTTCCACGGTGTGGGCAGCCGGGAAGTAACAATCGCCCTCACAATCCGAAATGCACACGAAACCTCTCTATTACTCACTCATCTTTGTCTTCATCTTCATCTCTATCATCTTGCCTTCCTTCCACTGATGCAACTCCTCGACTTGATAGCTCTCCACTTCCTCTCCACTCTGCGTCCACTAAAAACGATGGAAGCCAAAAAACCACCACCGACAGCCTCTTAAAGCCGCGCCACCAATTTCATATAGGAGCTCTTAATGTTAGGACACTTTGCCAAATAGGACAACAAGCATCACTAGCCAAGACCCTGGCATCACGAGCCATTGATGTATGCTGTGTTTCAGAAACACGCATACAAGACCCAAGTGTGGTTATTCACCTAACCCCACCTGGCCAACAGGTTGAATCTGCAAAATTCACCCTGAGGGTGTCAGGAGATGCCACAGCTAGTTCACGAGGATTAGCTGGCGTAGGGATAGCTTTGAGTACTAGGGCAGAAAAGACATTGCTTGACTGGATCCCGGTAGATAGCCGAATGTGTGCTGTCCGCCTGAACGGATCAGTAAGAAGGAGGAAGGACTGCACTACTCGCCGATGCCTTTTCGTAATCTCCGCCTACGCCCCCACTGACTGCAGTTCAGATGAAACGAAGGATGAGTTCTACCAAAAGCTGTCTAGTTTGGTGGAAAGGCTAAACGCTCAGACATAGTCGTTCTAGCTGGTGACTTTAACGCTCAAGTAGGGAAATTGTGTCAATCTGAGAAGGATGTCGGTGGCACCTATGGAGCTCCGTGCCAGCGAACCGACAACGGTGACCGTCTCCTACAGTTCTGCTCTGATAATCATTTGTTTCTTGTAAGCACTAACTTCAAACACAAGGAGAGACACTGTTTGACTTGGAGACCCCCTTCATCAAACCAACGCTGGACACAAATAGACCACATAGCAATAAGCTATCGTTGGCGTGGGTCGGTAGGAGATTGTCGCTCCTTCTGGAACACGTGCGTAGATACCGACCATGCACTGGTCCGCGCTCGGGTGTGCTTACGACTGAACGGACGTAGGAAACAGCTGGCGGTAAAACCATCACGTCCCCAGCTCGATCAGGAAACTAAATCCGTATTTGAGGAAGAACTAGCTAAACACATATCTGTGTTCGACAGCTGTGCTCACCCTGAAGAAGCTTGGAAAAATATCCAGGCAGCCATAGATACAGCTGTAAAAGCTGTGAATAAGGTAAACCCAAAGGTGAGTAAAAACCACTGGATCTCCACCGCCTCATCCGAACTGATAGATGCTAGAAGACTTATTCCGGCGAGCTCCGAATTCAATGAGGAGCGAAAGCTGCACAAGAGGAAACTTACGAAAAGTCTCCGCAAGGACCGTGAACAGTGGTGGGCGACAAAAGCCAAAGAGATGGAGAAAGCTTTGAGGATAGGCAACACCAGGCAACTCTTTGGACTCATCAGGGAAACGGGTGGGAGAAGACAAATCATTAGTGAGACAATCTCGGAAAAAAATGGCACTATAATTAGCTCACAGGATAGACGACTGGATCGTTGGAAAGAGCATTATGAGGAGCAGTTTAATTTGCCCACAGCCACGCTCAACCTTCCGAGCATCCAACACCTCCCTGAATGGGATATAGACACAGGTCCTCCGTCACTAACTGAGGTTACTAAAGCTGTCACCAATCTGAAACTAGGCAAAGCAGCGGGACCTGATGGAATGACTCCAGAGGTATTTAAGTACGGTGGAGACAGCTTACTGTCCGGATTAACTGAGGTACTAGGCAGCGTCTGGGAATCAGAAGAAGTCCCATCGGGTTGGTGTAAGTCACTGATTATCCCCATATACAAGAAGGGAGACAAGTCTTCCTGTGATAATCACAGAGGGATTAGCTTGACTAATATAGTATCTAAAGTCTTAGGCTCAATAATCATGCGTAGACTGAGTGGTGCTCGGGAAGCACAAACACGAGAGAGCCAGGCAGGCTTTAGACCAGGAAGAGGGTGTATTGATCATATCTTCACCCTCCGACAGATTCTAGAACATAGGCATTCCTACCGGCGTCCAACAGTCATTATATTTCTTGACCTAAAGGCAGCATTCGACTCTGTCGATCGGGAAGTTCTCTGGAGATGCTTGGCTGTAAAGGGAATTCCAAGAAAATATATTGCACTGATTAAGGCACTCTACTCGTACTCATACAGCCAGGTGAGGGCTTACGGCGAGCTGTCATCTGAACTGATGACGACCAGTGGTGTCCGTCAAGGATGCCCATTATCTCCTTTTCTATTCAACTTCATCATAGATGTGTTAATGGACTTAACCCTAGGTGACTTCAGCGACTCAGGGATTGACTTGCTACCGGGGAATAATCTCGTTGACTTGGAATATGCAGACGATATAGTCCTTCTAGGCGAAGACGCTGACGAAATGCAGAGTCTTCTAAACACCTTGAGCCGCAATCTACGAATGTTTGGCATGCGATTCGCTCCCGCCAAATGCAAGATGATGTTACAGGACTGGACTACATCGACGCCTAGTTTAAAAATAGGAAGTGAAGTGGTAGAGCACGTTGACCGCTTCACTTATTTGGGAAGTACCATCAGCCCCAACGGGCTGATCTCTGACGAAATCTCAGCACGAATACAAGGGGCTCGTTTCGCATTTGTTAGTTTACGCCGACTCTGGCGTAGACGAGATGTTCGACTATCGACCAAAGGGCGGGTGTACTGCTCATCAGTCCGCTCCGTCCTCCTTTATGGTTGTGAGACCTGGCCACTGAGAGTGGAAGACATGAAAAGACTAGCTGTCTTTGATCATAGGTGCCTGCGTTCTATTTCCCGTGTAAAGTGGCATAATAAGGTGAGCAACATGGAGGTTAGGCGTAGAGTTCTAGGTAAACAGGGGAAATCAATCGACGAAGTCGTGAAGCTACAAAGACTGAGATGGTTAGGACATGTGTTACGTATGCCAAGCCATCGCCTCCCTCGACGAGCAATGTTAGCGGATATAGGGTCAGGCTGGAAAAAAGCTAGCGGCGGTCAAACAAAAACTTGGCATCAGTCAATGAAATCCACAACAGTTGGTCTAAGCCACGTAGGAAGGTGTAGACTTCCAGGCTGGGGTCCTCGGGACGGTAAAAATCTATGGTTGGAAACAATTGGTGACATGGCTCAAAATCGTTCTCAGTGGCGCAGATGCATCCACTCCCTGTGACTTATGATCTTCAATGAAACTGTTTTGTATTTCTTTATTACTCCTTTGTCTCACACCTCTGCTCACTGTTTCTATTATGCTTTTCTTGTACTTTCTTCTCTTGCTTCGCGTGCTACACGGAATGTGGCGACTTGAACTTCCGCACATTTGTGCAAAGTTCTATGTCGAAAACAGACAGACACACTCCTGAAACACTTAGGACCAGATAAGAAGCGTGAATTTACAATCGACAATGATAGGCAGAATATCTGCCTCAATACGTATCAATGTAGCTGTTTGTAGCTGACAAGAAATCAAGTAAAAATAAGTCTGTGCTCTTTTAGAAATCTACATATCTGCACCTCTATACAAAACGACTCAATAACTGATACTGTCTGTCTGTCTGTTTTCGACATAGAACATTGCACAAATGTGCGGAAGTTCAAGTCGCCACACTCCGTGTAGCACGCGAAGCAAGAGAAGAAAGTACAAGAAAAGCATAATAGAAACAGTGAGCAGAGGTGTGAGACAAAGGAGTAACAATGAAGAACAAAACAGTTTCATTGGAGATCATAAGTCACAAGGAGTGGATGCATCTGCGCCACTGAGAACGATTTTGAGCCATGTCACCAATTGTTTCCAACCATAGATTTTTACCGTCCCGAGGACCCCAGCCTGGAAGTCTACACCTTTCTACGTGGCTTAGACCAACTGTTGTGGATTTTATTGACTGATGCCAAGTTTTTGTTTGACCGCCGCTAGCTTTTTTCCAGCCTGACCCTATATCCGCTAACATTGCTCGTCGAGGGAGGCGATGGCTTGGCATACGTAACACATGTCCTAACCATCTCAGTCTTTGTAGCTTCACGACTTCGTCGACTGATTTCCCCTGTTTTCCTAGAACTCTACGCCTAACCTCCATGTTGCTCACCTTATTATGCCACTTTACACCAGAAATAGAGCGCAGGCACCTATGATCAAAGACAGCTAGTCTTTTCATGTCTTCCACTCTCAGTGGCCAGGTCTCACAACTATAAAGGAGGACGGAGCGGACTGATGAGCAGTACACCCGCCCTTTGGTCGATAGTCGAACATCTCGTCTACTAGGCCAGAGTTGGCGTAAACTGGCAAATGCGAAACGAGCCCCCTGTATTCGCGCTGAGATTTCGTCAGAGACCAACCCGTTGGCGTTGGCTGATGGTGCTTCTCAAATAAGTGAAGCGGTCAACGTGCTCTACCACTTCACTTCCTATTTTTAAACTAGGCGTCGATGTAGTCCAGTCCTGTAACATCATCTTGCATTTGGCGGGAGCGAATCGCATGCCAAACATTCGTAGATTGCGGCTCAAGGTGTTTAGAAGACTCTGCATTTCGTCAGCGTCTTCGCCTAGAAGGACTATATCGTCTGCATATTCTAAGTCAACGAGATTATTCCCTGGTAGCAAGTCAATTCCTGAGTCACTGAAGTCACCTAGGGTTAAGTCCATTAACACATCTATGATGAAGTTGAATAGAAAAGGGGATAATGGGCATCCTTGACGGACACCACTAGTCGTCACCAGTTCAGATGACAGCTCGTCGTAAGCCCTCACCTGGCTGTATGAGTACGAGTAGAGTGCCTTAATCAGTGCAATATATTTTCTTGGAATTCCCTTTACAGCCAAGCATCTCCAGAGAACTTCCCGATCGACAGAGTCGAATGCTGCCTTTAGGTCAAGAAATATAATGACTGTTGGACGCCGGTAGGAATTCCTATGTTCTAGAATCTGTCGGAGGGTGAAGATATGATCAATACACCCTCTTTCTGGTCTAAAACCCACCTGGCTCTCTCGTGTTTGTGCCCAATAACTCACACTGCATCATAAATACATTAATAAAGATATTTTCAACCATATATGATACAATAACATTGACAGTGAGCATATAGCAACCAAACAGACTGTCTGTTTTCGACATAGAACTTTACACCGATGTGCACCAGTTCAAGTCGCCACACTCCATGTAACTTAATGCAAGAGAAGAAAGTAGAAGAAATGTATAATAGAGACAGTAGAAAGAGATATGAGACAAAGGAATAGTAATAACGAAGAACAATATAGTTTCATTGGAAATCATGAGTTACCAGAAGTGGATGCATCTGCACCAGCCAATGAGAATGATTTTGAGTCATGTCACCACTTGTTTCCAGCCACCATTGGTTTTTACCGTCCCGAGGACCCCAATCAGTCAGGAAGTCTACACCTTCCTACATGACTACGTGGCTTAAACTAACTGTTGTGGATTTCATTGACTAGTGAAGCCATGTTTTGGTTTGACCGCCATGTGCTAGCTCTTTCCCAGCCTGACCCTATGTCAGTTAACACTGCCCACTGTCGAGGAAGGCGATGACTAGACATCCGTAACACATGTCCTAACCATCTCAATCGGTGTAACTTCACAGCCTCGTCGACTGATTTCCATTTCCTCCTTATGTAGCACTCGATCGATGCCTAACCTCAATATTGCTCACCTTATTATAGCGACTAACACACACAGGAGATATAGCACAGGCACCTATGATCGAAGACAGCTGAGCTTTTCATGTCTTCCACTCTCAATGGCCATGTCTCACAGCTGGCCATAAAGGAGGACGGAGGGAGCTGGTGAGCAGTATACCCGCCCTTTGGTCGATAGCCAGTCGGATATCACGTCTACTAGGCCAGAGACGGCGTAAACTGGCATATACGAAACTAGCCCTCTGTATCCGTACTCAGCTAAGATTTCCTCAGAGATCAACCCGTTGACGTTGGTTGATGGTACTTCCCAAATAAGTGAAGCGGTCAACCAAATAGAATGGAGTTTCGTAGGAAAAAGTATTCTTAACTAATTTAATTCACGGAGTTCAACACACAGTTGTAACTTACTCTTAAAAGGATCATGAACCTCCCAATCGGAATCAGATTCAGATGGTTCTGCAGTATACCCACGAGACATCGTTTGTGATGCTTCAGTTGAGTATCTGATAATAAGACATGAAAAAAATAAAAGAAATAACTGATAAGTATTATTATTTAAGCAGCAGAATTCATATTACAATAAATTTACATAATCATAAACTCTGCCTCTCCTCAATATGCATATATGACATTATTACTCTTTCCTTTTCAATATATCTGATGCCATAAACTATTTCGTAGCACAACAGTTAAGCTAATAAGATTATCGAGTTGAAACCTAGTCGTCAACCATGTGTTTAAGTGAGAGTGAAATATCTAATAATCCAGTTGTACATTAAAGCAATGCTGATATATGAATAGAATTCGGGCGCTGTGGTGGAGTATATTTCCAACGTCGATATGCTTAAAAGCTCGAAACGTAATTAGTAAATAGTGCTGTATGAGTTTCCATCATACAAAGTTATTTTAGGGAATAGCAATGCTAATACCGGTGATGATAAATAACAACGATTTCAACAAACTGACGAAATTGTAATAGGATTTGGGGGAGGGGGTGGTATAACTTACGTATTCTGCTAGTATATAAGACTAAACCAGACAGAAATAATCTCGAGCTAGTAAAAATTAATTTGCGCTATTTGCAGACTTCTCTTTTTTTACACCTAGTGAAGTACACTTCCCAACAGGAGTTTCCAAGGGGTAGTAATTCCAGCTAAGCAAGAAAGCTATCCAATCATGCAACTGTACAATGTGATGAGGCTTGTAGCAGAACCATTAAGAGACTTAAACTAATCTTATATAGTGAACCATCATCGTTATATGATCAGAAATACTAGTCTAAAAGGTCTTAAGCCAAAATAACTTGTGAACACAGACATTAACACATTAGAGCAGTCATTAGATACAGTAGTAAGTCGAAAAAACGTCTTCAGCTAACACTGATAATAACCAGTATTTTGCATGACATGATCACTGTTTTGAAAAAGCGAAGGGTGACGAAAATAGATGTAGTTGTAGGAACCTAAATTCACTCGTTTAAGACGTCTCCACCTTTACGGTCAGATGGTCCAAACGAAAGGTGTCAAAGTTAAAACCAGTGAGTATAACAATACTACACGGTCAAAACTTGAATTACGTAAACTAGTTAGTTTCCAAAGAATAGGGCACCCTCTCAAGCATACGTTTTTATGCGCTTATATCAAGGATGTGTAGCCGCCTATACATAAACGAAGTATAACAATGAATAAAATAACAAAAATACTTAAAGCTAAATACTCTCAACTATATAGTCACATTGGTATAGAGATCCAAACTTGACAAATCAGTCCAGTGCCACTATATAATACAGTGATATACAACCAAAACTATAGCTTAGGATAAGTGTGTACGTTTAAGACACCACGTTTGAAAACAGTATACAAGAAAAAACCTAGAACAAATACGTGACGATACTTTAATAAACAAACATCTGCAAAGTGAGAAAGCACACTTCAATGGAGTACACGTGAAAATATCTATAAATCCGAAGAAAGTAAACACTTGATACACAGACACCAAAGTGAACAATTTCAAACTATGCTACTTAAAGATCCCAACAAATAATCAGTAGTCACTCGCAGGCTCCCGTAAGACAGCCTTCTCTACAGAATTCATGTCAACACCTGGGTACTTAATAGGAGTATAGTGACATGTTTCGAACACTTCTAACTTTTTTTAGCCTGCCTACTTCCAAGTAGTTTTCGGATAGATTTGGATTTGAATAGCAAATAATGGTAATAAATTATCAATTACAGTCTTGTAGAAATACTATGTTACTTATACGTTTTCGTTTGTGTTCCCAACTTTCATTCAACACATGAAACGATTCAAGTCAATGCGCTCTAAAAGGCTAATGGAAATTTAGAGTAATCACCACTAAATAGGAATGTTTATACTGACACACACCTAGATAAAAGGTTTAATTTTGCCAGATAAATGTGAACTCACGCGCACATAATAACCAGATGGTAGTTTTAAAATACAAAACAGCTGTTATCCGTCTATGACCGGCTTTAAGGCCTTAAAAACAATTCACACGACCAGGACATCCACAAAAAACTAAGAGAGCTAAACTCAAGATACAGGTTTTATTCAAACTTTTGCAGAGCAATCTAGATTAGTTCTCGGTGTCATTATAAACTTCACCTTGATTCCTTATAATTCACCAACATTCACAAGGTCAAATAAAACGAATTAACCTGTAGATGAAACATATATTTCAGTTTATGATGTTACATGACGGTTTTAAAAAATGCAGTACATTCTCCCATTAAATATACTCTACTGTCCAGCCTGATTTCTAAGAAGTACATAAACTTGTTCTTTGATCCAGTTTTTATGATGTGGGACATAAGTATATGTAGGTTCATGAAAAACCAAGCAACTAAGATCAGCCAGTTGATCGATAAACTGGAAAAGTTGAGAAATATCGTAAGTGATTGTAGGAGCGTTCGGTTTTTCACGTTTCAACTGTTCTTCATATATCTTACAAACACCTTCAAGACATTGTTCTACAGTTTCATAGTCAGACCAAGTACGTGTATCCGGCTTCTTCACTGAAGGCTGTACAAGCAATATTGTATGAGGCATTTTGACAGCTAAAATAGAAAGCAATAGTCACTAAAACTGACACTCCATGAGAAAACAGAAACCAAGTCATTTTTCGCCAGTATATTTGTGATATTAAAAAAGTACGAGAAAGAAAAGTTTAACAGTTTAAAATCATTTTTTAGTGAAATAAAAGTGGCTAATATATAGTTAATTAATCTGGAATGAACAGCTTGTACATGTAATTGCTGAAAAATACAGAAACACAATGTTAAATATTTCTTATAGAAATAATCCTAACTCAATCGAAAACGCCAGTGGTCATAAACAGTACATCCTTTTAGTACAGTCACCCATGGCGGCAGTCTTGTAATAAAGTCTAAAAGTGCAGGAGAAGAAACTTCCTCATCGATATAAACGCCAGAGACAGCGACATCAATAAAACTGGACTGCGATAATACCCCTTGAGACTGTTCAAACACCACCCAGAAAGTCCAAGGTGTCTCCCAAGACACTCCTTTTCTACCTACAGCAGCTGCATTCAGATGATACAGAAAGTAGTGTTCACCTTTAGAACTATGAGTTTCACTTTTGAGCACAGGAGGAAGTGGCATAGAAGAAGGATACTTTGCAGTTGATACAAACGACCATTCAGACAATTTAGTATTATTTCCATCTGTCCGAATTAAGACGTGAGTATGAGGAGGGCCGGAAACTACAGCAAATGTAAGATTCCATCGCGAATGATTATGTGTTAAGTTTTCCTTAAGCACGGTACGTGACAATAACTTTAAACCAACTGCTGGCTCTGCTTTGTGAAATTCAACAGGAATACGGTAAATATACTTGAAAACATGCAAGAGAGGGTAGGCTGAAGCTACTCCACAATATGGTTGACTGTAATTGCACTGCATAGGCTCTGCTCCTACCAATTCTTTGACGCCTTTAAAATCTATTTGTGTGCGATGCTCTTTAGGAATAATAAAAGATGCGGGTGCAGACACAGGATAAGAATTCGGCGTTAAGTACTGAATACCATTTGCATCAAGAGGAACGACAAGAATGTGACTCTCATTTTCAGTTATGTCAGGTGAATCTGGAGTATGCCGGAAATACCTGTTAGTATGAAACAGAGCAAGACGTTTGTACTTCGGGCTGACAAGCGGATCTGAATAATTTGAAGATGACTGAATACTATATGGAAAGCCATAATTCGAAGCGTGGATCAGAATAACATAAGACAAAGAAGCATTTAGTAACATTAAACGAAGTGATTTGCTCGCAGTTTTGGAAGTGCACTGTAGTCTTCCCAAGAACAGAGGCATTACAGGTAATATCATGAGAAACACACTAAGAGAAATTAATAAATCAGGTTTAATCAAATGACCTGCACGCCCCATAATTGGTATGATAGATTCGAAAAATAAAGAACAGGAATATGAGTGTAATATCATAACGAAGATAAAAGTAATAAAGACAATCATTTGGAGAATCTTAGACTTGAACAAAGACCCTCTACTGGTAATGAATATACGGAATATGAAAGTAAATATAAGCCAAAATGTATAGACATATGATGTAGTAGCATTTATTGAAGACATTGTAAACAACATAACTGTTACCAAAAAACCACTAGAGTCAAGAAAGTCAATATCTAATAAAAAGGAATTAATGACAGGATTAAATCGCCATATCTTAAGGAAGAATTTAGAGATACCCAGAGAGTTGAATACAAGACCTCCAGGAATTCTAAACAGATATGTCTGAGACCAGACAAACCACCAAGCAAAAGGCAAAACAAACATACCCAGAATATTGTAGTGATTTGAATACCATACCATTCTGCAACCATAATGGTGATAAAGGAGTCCCAGTGCAGCTGAGAAGCCGAATCCAAGAAACAGAGTAAGTAGTTCCAACACCAAAGCTACACAAAATCCATACCAACTAACAACAGAAAAACCCCTGGTACGAAACATTAGAAAACAGAAACAAACACACATTATATAATTGAAAATTTTCCATATCCACCATGGAGCAACTATTACGATGAAACCAAACAGATCGAAGTAAACCATTCGCTTAGAAGCTGAAGTCATTACAAGTGGAGGCACACTTTTCATATCAGATTGAGAAGCTGAAGATGAAATACTTCGTAAAGTTTCTGACGTTAAATTTATAGCAGTAAGTTTAGTAATATTCTGAATTCGCTGATCATTGCCAATAGAGAGAAGAAATTTTAAAATGTTACCTCCTGATTGCGCGAGACACTCATCCGAAATGCGAGATTCTGTGTCATAAGGTGTATGGTAAACGTACCCGTCGTTAACATAAGCAAGATCTACGCCTGGAATCAGTCCATAGTCACGAAATATTCGATAATCGGTATCTGACGGTATTAATCCAAACTGAAACACATCTTCACCAAAAACACTGGCAAATGGCTGAGTAAAGGATTTCACATAAGCATCAAGTAACACTTCTGACGACGACCCTGGGCCAGTTTGAAATAGAAAAAGCCTCCTTCCAGCACCTGCACCCTCCAGATTCATAAAAGCTACAATGTCCTCTGCCCATTTGTGTTGTGTTATGAAGGCGTGACTACTCAGTAGTAGGCTCTCTTCAGCCCCGTTAAAAAGAAATACTAAGTCGTTAAACAGAGTATATGAACCTGTGGATAGTATGCGACAAATCTCCAGCATAACAGCACAGTTGACAAATGCATCGCTAGCACCTGGACTTCCAGGAGCCGTATCATAATGACAGTTAATAAGAAAGGCCGATTTATTTTCATTTCCTCGATGAACACGGGAATCGTGGAAACGAAGAGCGAAGTTTCGCAAATTACTATAAGATGATACATGGAAAAATGCCCGGAAACTTGAGTAGTTGGATATGTGTTCATCAAAAGAAATTTTCAGACCACTGTCATCACCAACAGCTGCGATTGACTTCAATTCATTCCGTAAGTAATCAGCTGCAGCATATTCATTAGCCTGAGATCCAGCTGTACGAGGACCAAAACTTGTTACTTTTACAAGGTGAGACCTTGCAGCTATCACATCGAAGCTGGAGTTGCAGCTGGTACCAGAACATGACCAACAGTCATTCCCGAAGTCAGAGAGTAGAACATATATCACCAGTACAACAATTAGCGAACCCAGAGAGAACAAAAGATTATATGGACGATCAATCAGTTTATCAAGATCGACACCCTGACGAAATTCATATTCCGAAGGTCCCACAGATGAGTGATTCACTGTGTTGGCATCTTGAAGTGTCCCCGGCTTCCTTCTTCGAATCTCACTCATCTAAACCTGATGGGCAAAATGCACTACATCAGCCGCACATTTTCAAATCGTGCGGGACTCAGTCCAATATCCAATACCGTTTTCAAAAGCTTGTGCAAATCAATTTGATTTCTTGATACTGTCTTCTTGGTTGTTGCATAAAGGTTCCCGATCGTTGATAAACTCCTACGTAGTACGTTCAGCTACTCGACTGCTGTAGCTCTGGTTAACTCCAAAAGCAGAAGTGCTGAGATTAATTACATATAGTTAGCAGTATTTAGTGTGTTTAGACATGTTGCTGCCATGAATGGAAATGATACGTTCAATAGTTAGTTTGCCGTCATTGTCGCAAAAGAAAAGAAATAACAATCAATAATGATAACAGATATAATTAGTGTAGGTTATGCAGAATAAAAGATAGCAAAAGAAATAAAGAGAACCTAAAAAGCAGACAGCTAATTAAATATGAAGTCGACATACGTACACATATAAATGCATGTGTATAAAGTATTTTAAAGGTTGATCGGAATTGTCTTACACAACCTCTAAATTAATTTATTCTCGCGTACCAACAACAAAGCAAAAGCCAATATTTGATTGTCCAAACTAAGTGATCTATTTCGGGACCAAAACAAGCCGTTAGACGAACGCTTAGCTAGCTAGTGATCGTGCACGTGACACGACGGGGTACCAAATGGCGGGGATGCTTGACCGGAAGCCTTCAGCTAAACAAGTCGACTTAAACAGTGGTGGTCAGCATCCAATGAGTGATTGCTGTGGTCAATAATTTTGGGGAATTATTTACCGCTACAGCTCACTACCCCCCCCTAGTGGGGTTGTGAGGACCCTAAGACAGAATCAGTCGGAAGAAAAAAATCTCGATGGTTCCCTTTCAGGTGAAAAAAAATCTTCCAAGCGGCTTGGTGGTATGCTTACTGGTTTGTCTGCCTATGCCAATAGGGTGTTTGTACATAGCTTCCTTGTTGTTGTTCGTTGGATTCCGTGCTTCGTTTGTTTCCTGTCCCGTGCCCGTAGTTCAGAACATCAAAAAAAACATCTAATTATTTTTTTGTGTATGTTACATGAACTGTTGAGAAAAAAATTTTGTGTTTGGTGGTACTTGATCGTGCCTGTAAAAATGGCATGCATTTTCATGTAAATTTATGTTTATATGAGAATATACATTATTATTACTGTATATAAAAAAATTGATGCGTCAAAAAAAATAGTCAGTACCACAAACGAATGAGTTGCGTGAGTCACACGACTTCGTTAAGTCAAGTAAGTGTGCAGATATTCTGGGAACCTTACGGTGCGTCCAGAACGGTTTTTCTTGGGGGGCTCGATAGAAGGTTCGGTAGCTGTCGCTGTGCTAGTGACTTCATCGATGTCTAAACGATCTTCTGTTACTTGTGGATTTTGGGGTACGTTGAGCTCTATGCTAATAGGATTACCCTCCAAGTAAGCCGGTTTTAGACGGTCAATGCTGACGGTGTCCTCGCGGCCGTTTCTGTCCAAGACAAAGAATTTATCAAAACGTTTAATTACTTTATAAGATCCGTCTCATGGGGGTTCCAGGGGTCTGCGCACAGAGTCGCGATGAACAAATACATGCGAAGAAGTTTTCAAACACGGATGGACGAAAACATCAATAGACTGTGGACGAAGGGGAGCAGGTTTAACTGAACGCATTGCGTTTATAAGCCTGCTGACGTATGAAGCGTGATCTACCACTGGTGGGAAGCTCGAGGGAGAAACAAATTCACCAGGCAGTCGCAGTGTCGTGCCATATACTAGCTCGGCGCTAGTACAACCAGCATCAGTTTTCAAGGCGTTTCGTATCCCTAGGAGAACCAACGGAAGGGATTCAGTCCAATGGGTGGTGTTCGCGGCTGACAGACCAGCTTTCAGCTGTCCGTATAGGCGTTCTACCATACCATTAGCTTGAGGATGGTAGGCTGTTGTTCGAAAACGCATGCAACCTATGATTTTAGTCAGGGCGAAGAATAAGCCACTTTCGAATTGCCGCTCGCAATCAGTTGTTATGGAAGGTGGGCATCCAAAGTTAGCGATCCATCTTTCTACGAAGACGCGTGCGACTGTTTCAGCAGATACGTCCTTGATGGGTACTGCTTCCGGCCATCGTGTGAAGCGATCGATGCAAGTTAAAATATAAGTATATCCATGGAATTCAGGAAGGGGTCAAACCAAATCTATATGGACGTGTTCAAAACGAGCGTCCGGGAGAAGAAAGGTGCCAAGTGGGCTTTTGGTGTGTCTTATCACCTTGCACTTTTGACAAGCTAAGCACGTGTGTGCCCATTCCTTTACTTCTTTATTAATACCAGGCCAACAAAAACGACTAGTTACGAGCTTGACAGTAGTTCGAATACCTGGGTGAGATAAGCCATGCAACGTATTGAAGACGTTACGGCGATAAATTTTAGGCAAGATGGGGCGAGGAGTACTCGTGGAAATGTCACATAGAATAGTATCTCTTCACATAACTAAAGGTTTCGCAGCTAATTGTAGAGTTGCTATCGACAACTGTCAATGCAGTTGAAGATTGAACGATCAATTCATGGTTTTTTGCTCAAACCAACTTCCCCAATTTTCGCGGAGGCATCAATACGACAGTCATCGTCTCATCGGTCGCTGTTCAGAAAGAAGTCAGCAGTGCATTTTCATGTAAATTTATATGTTTATATGAGAATATACATTATTATTATTATTATTATAAACCATCAGAAGTAATTTTGTGATTTATTATTGTAATATTTGTTCACAGACCCTAGTAAAAACATTATTTTTATATGTTGGTGTAACAATAAAGAATCCTCGAGTCACCAATCGGTCTTTTGGGTTTTCGTCCGTTATTACTAAGCGTTTCTGAAAAACTGCAAGGAACAGCGTGGGCCCGAGCTTAGCATGAGCTGGGCATTAACGGTTTATGAGACGACGCTGACAGTTTCTGACGATAGAAACAGATCTGGCGGATTCAAACAGTTGGTGAAAGTTTGGATAGTCGCCGTTCATTTTTCCTGGTGCCGGTCAAGTCCTCTTTGAACAAGCAATATCTGGAACGTTTTTGGAATTGGGTCAAGTTCAACAATGCCTGGGTCAAAGAAGGGACAGAGTGTCTTGGATGCAAACAGGAAAGTAAGTCATTGTGACTTGTCTGTTTATTGTAACGATGTGTCTGATGTTAGGCGTGACATGGTTGATGTTACTGTTTCGCCGTTCAGGGATGATAAGTACATCAAACTCCCTAAATTAGAACCACGGTGTTTTGATGGAAACCCGGCCGATTATTTACAATTTGTAAAGGAGTTTGAGATCATGTTGAGTGGTTTTTTATTAAATGATGAATTGAAGTTAATGTATTTGATGAGATATTGCACTGGAGATGCTTCAAGAGCTATACAGTGCTGTAAGCTCATGCCCCCTAATGAGGGATACGCTGAGGCTATGAGCGTATTACGTCAAAGGTTTGGAAGACCTTCAATGATTGTAAGGAACGTATACAAAGCTGTTAAAGGTAACGGCAGTCAACTTCAAGATGATTCCAAGGCACTTACTGAGTTTTTAGATAATCTTATGACTTATAAGAATACCTTGATTTCGATGAATTGCATGAGTGACCTCAACTCGGGTTTTATACTAGAAGTAATAGCAAGACGCCTACCTACTCGACTGCAAAGGAAGTGGGTGAAGATGAGCTCCCGTATGGAGGATGAGGGTATCGAGCCAAAGTTTGATGATATCCTGAAACTGGTAAATACTAGTGTCAATCAATCTATGAGCAAGTTTTCCAATCTGTTAGATCTCACCCCTAGAATAGAGCAGTCTGAGGGTAAAACGCACTCATTGATGACGAATAAGCCTCAGAGAGGTGGATATCGAGAAGACTCCATGATGTATAGTAATGCATATAGACCTAGTGAGTGTAACAGGTTTCGTAGTACATCCTCAACAGATAAGTTGCAAGCTGCAAGAGAAACACGGCTTTGTTTTACACGTTTGCAAGAAGTGCATACAAAGGTGAAATGTGAACCAGTGAGCAAGTTCAGTGATAAGCTAAATGTAAACTCCAGGCCTGACTCCGAACTGTGTGACGATTACGGTGCGGTGAAGAAGTCTGTAGTTGCAACTGGTAAGCCATTGTTGAATAGAGTGTCACAGAATAGAGTTACTGCTTCAGAGTGCAGTTCTGACTCCAAAACTTTACAAGGTAATACTAGTCAGAGTGAAGATATAAAACCTTTAATGATTTTTGAGGAGGAACCAAAATTGTCTACTTCTGTTATTAAAGAGTTTGAAAATGATGAAGTTGACGGTAAAATGAATATTCGTGATAATGATCATGATAGTGCAGATTTGTCTTTGGTTGATCATGATGAGATGAGGGATATGCCTACTACTGCTAAGTTAAACAAGGGTTCTGTACAACTACAACGTGAAGTAGAATTGAACGCAGATGCAGTTCCAGAAGATGTGCATACTTGTGAGACAGTCAGTGTAATTGATCAGCGTGTAGCCCATCTATCATCAGATGATAGTGCTAAACCCGAACTAGTAGTGAAAGACAGCAGGGGTGGTAATCTTGCAGTTGGACAACTATCTGAAAGCCGAAAAAGAACAGCTTCTGATCCACTGCTAAGTTCATCACCTTGTGTCACTCAGTCATCGTTGGTGTTTTCATCCACAATGAAACAGATGCCCATCAACTCAAGTATCTTGTGCAATGACTATGATAGTATTGGTGCGTTTGAAAAGACGAAAGATATTGCTCAGTTTAGTGTGGATAAGCCAAGTGTAAAGGAGAGAGTTATTGTTAAATTGACTTGCACGAATAAAGGCAACTCTAGTTTCAAGTTACTATTTGAATGTTATTATCTTTGGTGTAAATTACTCTGTGCCTACGCTTGGTTGACCAGATACGTCGTGTGTTTGTTGGTCATCTATATTCTACGATACAATGACATGAGCGTGTTACCGTTCAGATTTGAGGATATAGCTGATAGAAGGAAGTCAGCAAATGAACTCTGCAACGATTTTCCGACCTAGAGCGTCA